AAAAATACACACAGGCCAAAAAATACATAAATGATGCCAAGTAGGACCAATTACATAACGCTAAGATCAGACAAAACATACATACTGGGAAAAATGTCTAAAAAATTCTAATTTGGTATAAAAGTATGATATGTTTCATACAACTCCACGACAAGGTATGTACTATATACAATATTATAACACTGTGTAATAGTAAGTCTAGAGGCAGGAAGTGGGCTCTTGTAGTAAATATACACACTTGCACACCCCGATTAAGAGACTTTTTCATATATATTTAAAATAACCATTCACCGCCGCTTCCCGTGCTTTTCTTCTATTACATCAGTATAAACCAGAATAGTCCTAACCTCATAGCTTAAATCTCATAGCTTAAACTAGCCAGCCCAGTAAGAAATTACCAAATTGGGGTCCGGTATCAGCTTATTGAATACATTTTAAAATACAGAATTTTTTCTACACATCTTATAGACATATGTTAGGTTATCTTCAGACTAATCTTCAGCTCCTAAATCCTAAAATTGCCAATACCTACCAGGAGGCGGGAAGTTGTCGTAATTTAGATTGGATTGCATGCGACCGTTTCTCGCGAAGTTATAGTAAATCAAAGTTGACGGTTGAGAGACAATTTTTTCTTGGTTTTTCTCGGTTTCGTGGCTAAAAGAGTTAACTCTCTCTTCTTATGACCCTCAAAAGTATCATCTACATATGATCCAAGTCTATAGAGGTGCTACACGAGTAATTGGTTCAACAGGAAAAAAATTGATCGTGTCTACGGATAAAAAAAAAACGTTATAAAATCAATACTTTCTCAGCTATCACGTCGAAGCTAAAAATATCTAGTGATTTTATCCGAGAGGACTAGTACAGTAAAGTATAGGCATAATGAAATAAAAACAACGAGGGGACGGAGAGCCGAGAGGTCACAGGCTTACAGGAATTATTATAAATAAAAGTGATAAGATTGAATAAAATCACTTTCAAATAAACGCTTTGATGCTTATTTGTAAATACAGCACCTCAATTTAATATGTTCTTACTTTGCTGGCTTACACTGTGCATAGTTTGGACTGTACTGTCTTGAAAATACTAACTACTGATTTACATCGAAGCATTTTTTCGAAAGTGATTTTATCACTTTTAGATTTAAAAATTCCTATAAACCTGTGACCTCTCCGTCCCCACTATGCCTCGACCCCACTGTACTGTTTTTTTTTTTTTGCAAAAACATAGTGGACCAAATAACACATAATCAATGTCTTGTTAAATTTAGTTGGAATGGTCGACGATTCATGTTTCAATTGTTTGTACTCCATAGTTTAAATTATAATCGCTTATTCTCATTAAAATTAATATTTATGTATTATATACTTCCAATAGAGCAATTTGACTATTTATACTTCGTAGATTATATTTTTTCAAAGATCTATTATGCTTCTATTTTACTAGATTGGCAATGTACAAAACAAAATGCAACTAAAAAAACCTTTTCGTAGATCCTTAAATTGTAAAGGGTGAAGCAGTAAAACGGGCGATTTTCCCATTTAAATTGTTATAGCTGGCAAAAAATTACTTTGGAAGCGTTTCATTGATGTAAGATGAATCCATTCATAAAACCTGTTTAACATCATTTTGTATACTAATAAGATAATAGGTAAGATAAAATAGTGTATTTTAAAATTTGAATTGTAATATTATATGTTTAATAGTAATAATATTTTCGAAATATAATTCGAAAAATATGGAAGGAAGGAACAATGCCGGTACAATGGAATACTTCTTTCCCATCTTATGCCCAATATATAAAAAGGCAGATGCGTTGGATTGCAGAAATTACAGGGGAATATCTTTGCTCTGCACAGCATATAAGATACTATCAAATTTATTATTAAACAGGCTAATACCCTATACAAAAGAAATAGTAGGGAGTATCAAGCAGGATTCACAAAAGGAAAATCTACATTGGATCAAATTCGCATAGCAAAACAACTAATGGAGAAAAGCTACGAATTCAATCAAGACTTATTTATCCTATTCATTGACTATAAACAAGCTTATGACTCAATCATCAGAAAATCCTTGTAGGCTGTGATGCTGAAATTTGGAATCCCGGAGAAAATGGTAAAATTAATACAAACCTGCACTACAAATTCGAAATGTAGGATTAGATACAATCAGCAAATGTCGGAAGAATTCAATGTACAAAATGGTATAAGACAAGGTGATATCTATCTCCTATGCTATTTAATATAACACTAGAATATGTAGTAAGAGCTGTCCTAGAATTCAACACAGGGGTTAAAATCCAGGAAAACACAGAAGTAACTATAGTAGTATACGCAGATGTTATTATGATCGTAGCTGAATTAGAAGCAAATCTAAAAACGACAACATCAAACCTGATAGAAAAAAGTAAGGATATGGGATTAATAATAATCAATGAAAGTAAAACAAAATACATGATATTATCACACAGAATTCACAACCAAACAGAATTAGTAGTAGAAAAAACGAGATTTGAAAGAGTAGTAACTTTTAAATACCTTGGAGTAGGTCTGGACACAACCAATGGTGGACACAATGATGTACAAAGAAGAATAACTGCAGCTAATAGATATTTTGGAATGTTAAGACCACTCTTTAAATCTAGAATCCTCTCAAAAAAGTCGAAAATAACAATGTATAAAGTACTTGTCAGGCCTATTGCTTTATACGCATGTGAGGTATGGCCCTCAACAAAAACGGATGAAAAAAGGTAGCAATATTTGAAAGAAAAATACTAAGACAAATATTTGGCCCCAAAAAAAATTAGGAAACCAATGAATATGAGCGTAGAACTAATGATGACTTATATGAACTATACAAGTAACCGGACATAGTAGCAGTAATGAAGGGCAAAAGAATCGGATGGGCAGGACATGTCTGGCGCGCTGAAGGACAAATATTAAATTATATAACCTCACGGAAACCAAACAAAAAGAGACCCTTCAGCCGACCGAGACAACGATGGAGTGACCGTGTATATCAAGACCTAAGGTTGTTAGGAATAGAGAATCCGGAAGAGATGGCAAAGGCTATATATTGCCTATACTAAGCAAAAAAAAAGTAATAATATTTTGTTTTTTTTTTTAAGTGTCCTGTGTCAAGTATCTACTATATTCAGTGTTATACTTTTTAAGTTGGAACAAAATCCTTTGTACTACTTTGTAATTTGTCCCAGAATGTCAAACAAACAACTGCAAACAGTTATCATTTTGTAATATATTGTACTGGTTACTTTATTAGATTGGTACCTAAGGTAACATAAGTATAATTAATATTAAATAATATATATATAATATTATTTATCTAGTAGGAAGTTTAGGATTACAGAGAGGTAAGCTCTTAATATTTTTATCATTTGCTTTGATCATAACCCATATAATGCATTTATGCATTACGGATATTTTGGTTGTACTGTGCTTAATTATTAAGGCCTACTTCTTCTTAATTCTAGACAATACTAAACGTATAATGTATAGATATAACAATTGTTTTTAGTTTTTAAACTACTGCAAAAATACATTCGTATATACTAGATGTAAAAGAAAGACAATACTTACATTTTTAAAATAATAAATATGTATACTTCTTATAAAATTGCACCTAATTTATAAATTATGAAATTAAAAAAATATAATTAAATAACATTTTAGAAATTTTTATTTTTACTATTATAGTGAGAATGTAAACTTAAATTTGTGTAGAATTTTATCACATTGTAATTGTATACTTTGATTAGAATTGTATCATTCATAAAACTATAATATGAAGTAATATATATTTTTTGGTTTTCTACGGTAAATTACTCTCACATTGTCATTATCCATAAGACAGCTGTTTGTACTTGGTATTGATGTTGAAGAATCGTAAAAATTTGACTTAAAATAGGTAACGATTTAATGATATTAATAATTTAACTGGGAATAAAGTGAGGTAAATTTTAAAGGATTATGATAAATTCCTTTATTTTATCTTTATCGCTTGAACATCAGACTAAAATAATTTAGTATTAAATTATAAAAATAATGATAAGAATAAAAAGTATGTCAAATTAATAAACAATTATTATTCAGTTAAAGGACAATCGGTTTATGTTAACAAAATAAAAAAAAAAATCATTTAATCCTTTCCCTCCGAGGGGGTAGACATGTTTTTTTTTTGCTTTTTTAAAACTTAAGGACTGCTAAGTCAACAGAAGGGGCTTTAACATAATAATATACATATTTCTTAAAATCTGAAGTCAACCTTTTTTTTAATTACGGAAAACCCACTAAAAATAGGGAACAAAAAAAAAGGTTGCTATGTGTAAGTGAATAAACAGTCAGCTAGTGTAAATATAATTATTACATTATTGATTACCGTGTATGGGTAACTACGTCATTGAACTATTTTAGACAGACAATCAATCCTAATCGTAATACTAAAAATACATTTTTAACCTCTTTATGTTCACTAGGTACAGTGTATTATCAATATTTGTACTTCTACCAATTAAATCTTGTAACGAAGCGTTTATTTGAAAGTGATTTTACATTTTTCAGTTGTAATAATTCATATAGATTTGTGACCTCCCCCGACCTAATATGTTTCGACACCACTATGCCTAACACCATTGTACTGTTTCTTATTTATTTTGTAGTTCTAAGTATTATCATAGAACAAAATATTTACTATATTTAATCTATGGTATTATTGTAAAAAGTAGTGGTAAAAAGCATTCGATTTACCTGATAAATTATGTAGAATAGAGAAAAAATTCCTGGTACCTGGCCAATTTGAAAAATAATACTGATTGAGTCATTACAATAATTTATTTTTGTATGATATAAATTTAGAATAACATAAAATTAATATTGTTTTAGAAATGCTAAGTTTTTGCATATATAAGTTATATTGACAGGATTCTACAAATTAACAATCTGAACTGAAAAGATATTATGTTGGTATTAAATTTTGGTCAATATTTATAATAATTTTATCTAAATAGTTTATTCGTCATCATTGTTTCTCCTGAGAAAGAATAAGGTAAAACTTAAATCGACATGATCATTTATACTTGTGATGTGATTTAAGTACTTGTGTAAATATGTAATGTTAGAATTCCAAAAGTGTGTGTCAAAATCATCAACGAGAGGGTTGGAAATAGTCATGTTCAAAACATTTAGGATGAACTTAACTTTTTTCATTATTCGATCAGCCATGTTTTCAATTTTGGATTTGTCTGTTACTAGTAAATCGTTGAGCAGGAATGCAATAAGTTCTTCTATTATAATGTTATCTTTAGAGAAAATGAATTCGGCAGTTTTTTCCAATTCATAAACAAAATTTTTATTTGAATTTTCTATTTCATTATTGACTGCATCATTAGAAGTGATATTTACAAAAGCTGTTAAATGCAACCAAGAATGCAAATACACTTTTAGTTTCATAAGAAGCACAATATGTTCCAGATATCTATTTTCGGGAAACGGCTGTTGAACCCACATCCGGCTCGCAATATGATTCTTCATTAATGTCCTTTCAGCATCTAAATTTTCTTTCATTTTTTTCCTATCGAGCTCAAATCCTTTTACCTCTATCAATAAAATCTCATGTTTATCCTGCAGCTCTACCAAATAGAGATCTTTCAAACTAAACTCATGACCTAACCACCTGTCCACCCTTTTACTACCGTATAATGGGTTAAATAAAATGTCCATTATAATGTCAATTGGATCAGTGAAGATAGTCGCCAAACCTCGGTGAATGTCTTCACTACACATGTCTATACTTTTCAAAATGTCAGAGTTAAGTTCTTCATCGTCAACAAGATAGATGTCGTCCGGTAGCGAGAATTTATTAGGGTTTATGCCATCAACGACGTCACAAACTTTAAAATACAATTTCCATAGCCATTTTTCAGCAGCAGCCTTTGCCACGTACAAAATTGACAACATTTTTGCCAATTTTTTCTTGAGCTCGTAATATATTCGCTTTGTTTTCGAAACACTTACACCGTCTTTTTTCGTCGAATGGCTTAGATTTTCTTTGAATTCATTCAATATAACATTCGCATCGTCATCATTCATCGAAAGATTCATAGGTTCTTCGAATAGATTCAATATTACACTGGCATATTCATTATCCGCTGCAAGGTTTTTAATTACTTTGAATTGATTCAATATAACCTGAACGATTGCGACATTAGCACACTTTATTTCTTGTATTTTTCGTTTAAATTTCAACAAAGTTCTTTTCTTATCGACAACAGTGTATTTGTTGCCAAAGTTATGTGGCATTCGCAGCATGTTAAGCTCGTCTTCGTTAAATGTTAACGGCCTAAAGATGTAAGTTTCCAATTTATTCAGGGCCATAACCAAGACGTTATCGTAGAAATTTAATCGTCCATAAAGTGTATTTTCATATGGCTGGAAAAAAAAATTACACATACTGTTATTTTTACAATAAGCCAATTTTATAGAAAATACTAACATTTACAACTATTACATAAATTAGTATGTACATGTATGAAAAACTATTTATATACACTGTACAAGGTGATTCTTTTATCATGGGCCACTCAATATCTCATAGGGTTTATTAGGAATTTTTTTTTTCTTATTATTTTTATACAATGTGATCTCAATTTTTGACAACTTTTTTGCTTTTACCCCCCCCCCCCCCCCCTTTCAAATTAGTTTTTTTGACAGAACATTTTTAATTTTTAACGGTAACGCATACCTTTTATTAACTTTTAAAACTAAGAATAATGTACTAAAAATGTTGACTGGTCGATAACCTGTTGCAGATAACTTTAGGGCAAGAGGGAAAGGCGGAGTGTAGTAATTTTTTTATTAGCGCGCATTTCGCTACCGCACTTCCCTTCCCATTCTTACTAAACATTTAAAACTCAAAATGAAATTATACAAAACTTTTTATCGACCAGTAAATATTTTCTATTGATTGATCTTGATATTTAAATATTTTTAAAAACAAAATTAGAAACGTTAGATTCTTAATTGCCTTAGAATGTACTAAAAAATTGTAAAAACTCACAAAGATGTCTATTAATACATAATACTTTCTATAAGGTTAAAACTTCAACGTGGTACGCTTTTCTAAGTTTGGTAACTACGGTGCTTTAAAAGTAGCCACTAGTTGAGTACAAACTTAGTAAGTTGGCTACATGGATTATATAAAAATCGAACTTGATTATTTTTTCTTTTTTGACAATGGTTTGGTTTTAAAATATAAATCCAAAGATATAAGAATAATAGTATTCCAGCCCTTCTCTCACCTCGTCGAGAACATTAAACTAAATTTTATATTTTAATTGAAATTTTTAAGCTTAAATAAATAGAAAAAATAATGTCAAGTACATTCAAGTTCATTGGGTAATTTTTTTTCCCATAATTTTTTTATTAAGATAGATATTGTTTCAGACATCTTTGTGTAATATTTAAATCAAATATAATTTTATGCGTTTTTTAAATCTTTGCTTAGCTGACAGTTACCAATAATAACAATATAAAATTTGTTTTTTTTTTTTATAATAGAGAATTATAAATTAATATTATCAGACAAAACGAGAAAAGAAAAAAGTTATGGACGATAATTCTGGGTGGAAAAAAAAATATCGTATAAGTGCACGCTTCACTTTCCATTGACCTTAGGGTAACGGAACGGGCTATATATTAAGAGACAAGGGCAGGCAACATTTGATAAAAATTTATCTAGTAGTCATTTTAAAAAAAATTAAACATGCCAAATAATTTTAAGGTATACAAATATTATATTTTTCGAGTTATATAACTTTTTAAGTTATTTTTCTCAGTTTTTGCGAAAGTTTGATACAAAATAACTCATAATCTCATAGTGCATTAATAAGACGAATTCCAATTTTCCTTTTAATGTGAAGTTTACTGTTTTCTCTATGGGCGTTAAAAGGACAATTTGATTGAGCTATTAGAAAATTAATTCGATTTATAGTTAAAAAAAATTATAAAATATTTAATTATAAACACTTCTACAGTGGCAACTTTGGTTCTTTGCCAAAGGGGCCAATACTTTTTGGTATATAAACATACTCAAACTATAATAAAAATAGTCAGCAAGTGTAATAAATTAACAGTATATTTATAGACTATAGTATATATTATATAGTAATAATTTCGTTATCAGTTGATAATAAACTTCGATTTATTATACATAATATTGCATTAATGAAAAAATTTAATCAAAAATTGCATTTACATGAATGATTTAGTAGGCTACATTAGTGTCTAAATAATGTCTGGGACTATAGCCCTCCAAAAATCAGCCCTAAGTCCGCCTATGCATATGACAAAATGTTTATAATGCATAATAATATCCGGGATAATCGGGTAATATCAAAGCAAGCATCAAAACTAATTCAAAACCGATATAAATTAATTTTAAACGAAAAATAGCAACTAAATATTATAAATAAAAACATTTATTTTTAATTGATCAAGGGAATACGAAGTTTTTTCCATCTTTTTTTTTGTTTAATCAACTTAAGGATAGATTTTACTATTTTTATATTATACATCACTAGTAACAGAGCTTGTTACACGTTAAGCAAATTAAATGGTACATATTGACTTATTATTTTAACCAATAGGAATAGTACTCAAAATGCTGTAAAGGAACTTGTTCAATAACCAAATATTAATAACAATATGAAAATTAACTAAAATTTCAGTTCAATAAATAAGTAATTAATCATACTATTACGTTATCTTTTTGAGATTAGTGGTGTTAAACAATCAAGTAGGTTAAAATAAGAACTTGATTTTTTAAAACAAATAATTGTAACAAATGTAGGTACAACTAGAATTGTAACTCATTAAAAAAATTAATTAAAAATGTCCTTTGAGAACTAAAATATGGAATAGCACAAATGCTAGACTATAACCCATGAAACAAATTAGATTTGCCATTTATGAAAAACTGAAAAAAAAAAAATACATAGCTATAACAAATTTTCTGTAAAAAGACAGAACGTACTAAATACAAATTGCTGTTTAACTAACACAGCTAATAATAAATAATAGTCGTACATACCATGTAGTTTTAATACTTCCTTGGGTAAGAACCAGATTTCAATATTTTGAATTTTAACAACATAATATTTACCAGAAATACGCTTACCGGCTCACCCGTTATTGTACTGATTACCCTTTAAAATTGTTTATCACTGTCGGAATTCAAAGAATGTTATCTACCTCCTATTCAATTTAATACATTGTTTTTTTTCTTATACTCTCATTGAATAGAATCATAAAATACGTTTAATCGATTGTGAATAAGAAAAGCAATAATTACTTTTGCTGACTGATTTGTTGAAATTTCATTTTCTGTCGAGCGCACGACCGGCAATGTGAAAAAAGCTGCAACAACAAAAATGATTTTCTTCATCCTTAAACTGGCCACGTATCCAATGAACTGAAGTGAAAAAAGAAATTGCTCAAGTATGTTATTTAGTGTTGTTTTTCACGAAGACAAAATATGTTATTGATGACGCACTAGATCTGTGTAAATATTTGGTTTACCCAAAAACATAAAAAAACAATTTCGTTATGATACAAATATTATGGTAAATACTACAACTATCAGAAACATTTTCCAGCGGTAAAGTTATTATTATTAAAACTTATTTGAAGAGAGCCTTTTCTCGACAATATCTTTGAATCATTATTTATCACTCTTACTTTTGATATTTATTAACTTTCTTTTTTTCCCCAAATTTGTATAGTCTTATTCAATTATTTTTCTTTAAAGGAGAAAAAAAGAAATAGTAAAATTTTTTTTACTGTTATCTTTTTGTGCCGGAACAAATAGTTCTAAAAAAATAATTAGGGTTATAGGGTTTTAAAATAAAATGTTATATTTTACTAAAATATTACCCTGCAAAGTAGGATTCTTTTTTTAGTAATTTTGTTAGCTATTGGTTGCTATTTTAATTCAAGCACTATATTTATACATATATAAAATATACTATATACATATAAAGTTATTTAAAACGGCCTTCATTTAATTAACACAACATTAATTATCTTTCCCCATTTGCTTTGTTACATTTGTAAACGTAGTCTCTTCTCATCAACTAAAGTATTAAGTAAACATAAAAAAAACGAAAAAAGGGCTGGTTCCACAGCTGATATACTTGCAACAGTGTGCACAAGCCCCAAGATACTGCTGTCATAAAAATAGTTTTCTCTAATCAATAATGTTATAAAAAAAAACGTAATACAACTAACAATAGGTTAGGTTATATAATCAGCACACGGAGCTGATAACATTATCATATGTTACATGCTCTCTTTTTTTTTTTAACAAAATAATTTAATATGGTTTGCTTAACATCAACAATATAACATTAGACACTTTAACAACAACATAACAATTATAACAGAATACAGAATACAAATTTCTACTCAATAATTAATTAATAGTTAATTAATTTTTTTTTTTAAACAATATAATAGAATGTAGTAAAATTTCATTACATTTCTTACTGTTTAATAATAATAAGTCATCATTATCTTTCTTTTTTTTAATTGTTCTTTTAGGACAACTAGCACTACTATTTACTGCGGCCCAACGTTTGTATGATTCTCACTCTATACTGTTAATTATATTTCATTCAAATACCTCTTTCTTATACGTTAACTTGTACGTCTGAATCACTTGCCTTCACCACTGACTAACCAGTATGACCTTGGAGTTTTTCCTCTTTACTCCAGGAATCCACAGTTTGTTTTTAAGGAATAGTACTGTGTGGCCCAGTCATAAACGCTACCTCGCTGTATGTTTATTTTTCTTTATTGCTTTTATTTTTTTTATCTCAGTCACATCTATCGCCTATTTCACACAACTCTATTATGGCTTTTAAGATCTCATATTTTTTAGTTTCTTCTTTAAATTTGTGTTTCTTACTTTCAGACATTGCCAGATTTGTTACTAATTCATGAATAATTAATTTTAAGAGGCACTCATCTGTTAGGGCTCACTATTGGGTTTACATCGTTATCTATGGTGATGTAATATTAGGCAATCCTGACCTTGAAATGACCCTAGTCCCTCAAAAACTTCCTTATAAGATTTTAAAATGTGATCTTTTGTTTTTACCTGTTCAGTCTTGCTACTCTATTCTATTACATCTATCATTTTAATTAATTTAAGTTCCTGACATGCCTTAATCCTAAAATGGGTATGGCGTTGCTGTTATTAACAATTAAAAATCTTAACTTTTGTGTTTTTATATCATTAATTGGTGCACAGTCTAGCAGTACTTCTCCTATTGGTCTGATTTGCTGGTCTTCAAAACTCTTAAGAATCATCTTTGTTTTACTCACTATATCACTATCTAACAACTTAATAATATGATAAGGTGAAATATTGGCTTCAGCTCCTGAGTACAATTTAAATTTAACAATTATTGATTTTTTACCACAGCCTACACGTAATTCTTTAATCTAAGCCTTCTCATTAAGTACGTTACAATTTAAAGAATATATGCACAAATTATTTACCTTAACTTCCTCATTAATGTTATGTATACTTTTAGCATTTGTCCTAGATCTACACACGGATTCAAAATGATTTTTTCCTTGACACTTTGCACACACCTTATTATAAGCTGGACCACTTTTAGGTGGATGTGTATAACCACACTTCGTACATTTATTACATTAACTTCTATTGTTTTCGTTAAAATTATTATTATAATAATGATTACCTTCATATTTATTATCTGTTTTTCTACTGTATTCTTGTTTCTTGAAATTCCGTTTTGCTGCATATTTTCCTGCTTCTATGGCATCAATGCGTTCATCTGTTGATCTTCCTTCACCATTTCCTTGCATCTTTTTTGCTTGTAGCTGACTTATTTCTGCTGGCTCTGTCGCTTTACCCAGCTCTAGGTACTTTTCTCTCAGCAGGCGTTCTCTCAATGCAATATCGGTTAATCAAATTATTAATCTGTCCCGAATCATATTATCCGCTTCCAAGAACTCACACGTTGACGAGAGTGTTTTTAACTCTGTTATAAATTCATTTATTTTTTGTCCAGGTTTTTGTTTAGTGTTGTAAAACTTGTACCTTTCATAGACAATGTTATTTCTTGGGTTGCAGTGGATTTTAAATGCTTTCAATACATATTTTACCTTGGCTACACTTGATGGAAATGTATTATATATTTCTATGCCCTGCTCTCCCATTAGACTTAGGAGTATCGTTATTTGTTGAGCATCATCAAACGTGTTCCGATTAGTGGCCGTCATGTACAAGTCATAACGTTGAAAACACTTTTTCCATACTTTCGACAAATTTCCATTAAAATTTATTTCCGGTGGCGGTTTGAGCTCTAATGTAGTTGACTTACTCATTTTATTTAATCTCCTTTGTAGATTAACGTATTAGAACACGTGTTACTACTTCACTGTGTGGTGCAACTTATAACTTTTTAATACAATAATTATTACCTGTCTTTTCAAGGTTTACTACTTTGATTTCCACACCTTACATCGTGTTACGTTTGTAAGGTGTCTTTAAATAATTAAGAATTTAAATACAAAATATATTCAAAGTAGTTTATTGAAACCACGCACAATACTTAGTTCACAACGCAATACAACTAACAACAGGTTAGGTTATATAATCAGTACACGAAACTTATAACATTATCATATGTTACAACTAACATATAACATTATACAAGAGTAGTCAACAAAATAGATAATACAGTAGTTATATGTAATGTGTGCAATTTGTATTATTTATAGTAATTTTTTTTCAATCCGTAGATTGGTTTAATGACTGATCATGATTGATCTCCACTCATCCTTATCCACCCGCAGCTACTTTCAGTTCTTTGTAATTCGTTTTTTCGATGTCTTCTATGATTTGTTTCATAAATGGTGTTCTTGGTCTACCTCTTTCAGCTTTTCCTTCTATCATTGTCGTTATCCATTCATCGTTTCTCATTATATGTACAATCCAGTTTTTTCTTCTTTCTCTATTTGTTTCCCATATTTTTTTGAAAGTGATTTTATTCAATTTTATAACTTTTATTAATAATAATTCCTGTAGACCCGTGACCTCTCCGTCCTCTCGTTGTTTTTATTTCATTATGCCTATACTCTACTGTACTAGTCCTCTCGGATAAAATCACTATCAAATAAACGCTTTGATGCTTATTTGTAAATACAGCACCTCAATTTAATACTTTCTAACTTTGCTGGTTTATACTGTGCTTGGTTTGGACTGTACTGGTTTAAACACACTAACTACCGATTTGCATCGAAGCGTTTTTTCGAAAGTGATTTTATCACTTTCAAATTTAAAAATTCCTGTAAAACTGCGACCTCCCCGTTCCCACTATGCCCCAACCCCACTGTATTGGTTTAATTTTAAGTATTAAATGTATAGAAAAAATAGAGTGTCTTACATCAGTTTGATCACTCTGTATGAATACTAAGTAGTATAAAAAACGTTATGTTAAGTGGAATCCATTTTTTTATTTTCGATATATGCCTATGTAAATCTTATTATTCAATAGAGCCGCAACAATATATTTTTTCATAACTATTTTTACCACCGTAATATCTGTTTTATTGCACTGAGCCGTTTAATCAAACAAGATGTTTTTAAATACAAAGGTTCAAAATATACACATTTTCATACGTTGTTTTATTTAATGCCAAATTAAATAGTCTGGTCTTACAATGCAAAAAATTGTTGTGTTTTTTCACGAATATTTTACTTTAACGATTGTAATATTCATGAATCATGGAAACTCATTAGTTCGGCGTATAAATATAATCCTAGTATAAGTAATTAACTAAATTATACAATTATATATGTTATAAAATATTATTATATAATATAGTTTTATGCTACTGGAATAATATAAAAAAAAACACTTTCTGCAACAATAATGTTCTTGTATTGAATGATAATTTTAAATATAATTTATATAACTTTAAATATTTTAGCTTCGATGCTAAGCTGAAGGTTAGAGTAAAATGTCTCCCTTTCCTATTCAATAGCATGTAAATAACCCATACAAATGTATGTTCGGTAATTTCAAGAGGACTGTATAAGAGAAGTTTTAACGAATACAACACGGAAAATAAATTATATTCAAAATTACAATTCAGAAAAAAAAAACTATATACAATAAGATCTTACTCACAGGCCAGCTCGTTAAGGTTTACAACTCATAGGTTTATCACTTAACAACTAACATAATATAAAATACAAGCATGCAAATCAAATAGGTATATTTACAATGGTACAAGTCCAGGTGCGATCGGTTGGTCGGTCGGTAGGTATCGAAGATTGTCTGTACAAATTGAAACGGTCGAATATGTGAACTTAAAGGTAAACAAACGATGCAGTTTAAGAAAACCAAAAAAATAACAAACCCGGTGAAGTGTCAGCAAAATGCAGTACGGTACGGTGGCGTGGTAGCAGCAGCAGTAGTAGTAGTGAAAATAGTAGAAGTAAAACGGTCCGAGTACGGCATGCATCGGCGGTGGTGTGGGGAGCGGCAGTCGTGATAAAGCTCAAACAATGTATATATTTTTCATCTTTAAACTAGTTATATGTCAATAACTTTCATAATGTATGGTAAAGCAATAAAATAAAACTTGAACGAAGGACCAGTCGAAATGTTTCGACACGAGAAAAAGACTGAAGCCGAAATTGCGTCGTTGCGCCTTATCAATTTTGGGTAGGCAACCTAACGTACACTATAACTGTTCGCTGTTCAGATGGCAGTTGGATAATAATAACACGGGATCGACGCGGGTTTTAAAGAAAGGAAGCAGTTTATATTTACAACGGATTGCAGGAAATAGAAATTATATAAGGGGCTTCTTATGGCCGGTTCCGATTGGTGCAATGGCCACAAGATAAATCTTAAAACTAAACATTCAGTCCACAACTTAAAAATAACTTAAATACTATTGACGGAGGTGAATTCAATATAATGATCGACGGTTATACGAACAGTCAACTCCGCATTTAGCCAATCGGAATAAAAGGCCACAGTTTACGGACAACCAAGGGTGTAGCGTGGCAGCTGGGCTCTGGACGACCTCGGCGGCCTCGTGATAATGATGGAGGACTTACGCAATCAGCAAACTCCGCGGACGGCCAATTACAGCAAACAGACATTAAACAAACCATCCTGTTGGCTATCTCAGCCATAAACGCTCTCGTCAACCATGACTGACCAAGTAAAACATCTTTACTGAAACTGTCAACTGTAGATACAACCACCAAACCAACCTTCTTAAAACCACTATAAAAAAATATAAAGAAATTTAATGGAACTCTTTCCTGACACATTTGAAACCAAATGATAAAACGATTTTTAGTCTAAATAAATCATTGATAAACAAAAATCTTCCATAATGCCCAATCTACGGACAACAAGGACTCGAATACGATCCTCAAAATATGCCTGAAATCTTTGAGGACAACATTGCAGCTGAATTTGTCTGTCCACCGGGTCTTCCAGAAACCAAATAAACGGTCACAAATTCATTACGATCACTAGTGTCGGCTAATACACAACTATAACCAATTTCCCCAGATGAGATTAGAAATATTATTAAGACCTTGCCTAGGAACAAAGTAACCGGCCCTAATGGCATCCCAAAAACTGCACTAAAACACTTATTTCACTACGTGGTACTTTGGCTAAAGTACTGGTGATTACTATGACAACCAGACTAAAAGCATCTATTCTAGGGAAAATCAGACAGAAACAATTTGCTTTTCGCCCTCAACACTCCACTTCATCCCAACTGGTGAAATTAATAGATTATTTAACAAACAAAACAAATCGTGAGAAAAGAACTGTAGCAGTTTTTTGGATTTCGAAAAAGTATTTGATAAAGTATGGCATGGTGGTCAAATATTTAAACTACTCAAACTTGGAACTCCGAACAAGCTGGTAGCCATGATCAAATTTTTCCTCACTGATAAATGTCTATCATAAGAGTAGAGAACTCTCATTCAATACAGAGGAAAATCAATGCAAGAGTACCACAAGGTTCATGTCCATCCCCACTATTGTTCATGTCATATATTAACCACATGCCTACCCAAACCGGTACTCACCTGAATCTATTCGCTGATGACACCATGCTATACGCTATAAATCTCGCTGTGATCAAGCTCCAAAAACAAATTGATCTTATACGCCCGCAGCTGGAAGAATGGAAACTGTCCCTAAACACCATCAAGACAGTCGCAGTGAAATTCAGGAAACGCCTTAAGAAATCAGGCCATTTGAAAATCAAGAGACACCTCATACCATGGAGCTCGAACACAAAACACCTGGGAGTCCATCTAGACAGTCACCTAATATTTAACACCCACATAGCAGAAATAGCACGCAAAGTCCAGAATGCAAGAGCAGCACTATATCCAATACCCAACAGTCGAAGAAAAATACCAAAGAACACAAAAAAAACATTTACAAAATGTACAAAAGGACAAAAAAAAATTGGTTTTTAAATTTTAATTTTGTAAATTATGAGTCATTACAATAATTTGTTTTTATATGATATACATTTATAATAACACAATACAATTAATATTGTTTTAGAAATGCTTATTTTTCGCATATATAAGATATATTGACAGAATTCACAATCAGAATTGAAAATAAAAAATGTTGTTATTAAAATTTCAATTAATTTAAAAAGTAATTTTATCTAAATTGTGCCCTGATGGTGTCTTTGTCATCATCTATTGTCTTAAGAAGGAATGAGGTAAGACTAAAATCGACTTGGCCATTTTTAGTTTTTAGTTTACTAAAGTAAATACGTAAATCTGTAGTGTTTGTATTCATAAATTGTATGTCAAAATCTTGAACAGGAGGGTTAGAAACAGTTCCGTGCATAGGAACTAGGATAAACTTGACTTTCTCCAGTATACGATCAGCCATGCTTTCAATTTTGGATTTGTTTGCTTTTAGTAGTTCTATGACTAGGAATGTAATTAGTTCTTCTATACCAATGTTATCTCTAAAGAAAACTAATTTAGCAGCTCTTTCCAATTCATAAACAAAATTTTTATTTGAACTTTCTAATTCATTATTGACTGCATACTTAGAAGTGATACTTAAAAAAGCTCTTAAATGCAACCAAGAATGCAAATATAATTTTATTTTTAAAATACGTCCAATATGTTTCAAATAATCATTATCGGGAAGCGGCTGTTGGATCCACATCCGGCTCGCAATATAATTCTTCATTAAAGTTTTTTCAGCGTCCAAATTTTCTTTTATTTTTATCCAATCAAGCTTAATTACTTTTGTATCTTTCAATAAAACATAATGTTTATCCTGCAGCTCTACCAAATAGAGACTTTTCAAACTAAACTCATAACCTGGCCACCCGTTCAACTTTTTACTACCGTATAATGGGAGAAATACTATTTTTAGTATAACGTCCAAAGGATCAGTTAAATTAATCATAATTTGAAGAATGTCTTTACTACACATGTCCATACTTTTTGAAATATCAAAGTTGAGTGGTTTATCGTCAACAAGATAGCTGCTATTCGGTAGCTTGAATTCTTCAGAATCGCCTTCTACGACACCACAAACTCTAAAATACAATTTCCATAGCCATTTTGCTGCTACAGTCTTCGCTGCATACAAAACTGACAACATTTTAGCCAATTTTTGCTTGAGCCCATAATATATTCGCTTTATTTTCGAAGGAGGTGTCGGTAAGTTTATAGTTTCTTTGAACTTATTCAATATAAACTGAACGATTGCTACATTAGCACACTGTACTTCTTGTATTTTTTGTTTAAATTTTAACAACGTTTTTTTTTTATCGTCAACAGTGTATTTGTTGTCAAAGGTATGCGGCATTCGAAGCATGTTGAGCTCGTCTTCGTCAAATTGTAACGGACTAACGCTGTAAGTTTTGAATTTATTCAAATGTATAACCAAGATGTCTTCGTAGAAATTTAATCGTCCGTAAAGTGCATCTTCGCAGGGCTGGAAAAAAACCATTTTATTTCTTGTTATTTTAATAATAAGTCATTTGTATAGTTAAGCTTATTTGTGGGAGTTAATAGCTATTGTTAATAATATGTTGTATTTTTATTTATTTTTTGACATCTCAGAATAGTTTAACTTATAAGTTAGAAGTTTAATACATTTATACTGTTGTGCTTATTAGAAATGTCTTATCTACATTTTGCTTATTTCTTTTTTTTTTATATTAGAAAACTATAGGTAGGACGAACCTTCCAGAGCTCGAGAGAGCCTTGCACGTAGGGCGTTCCAAATTGGATAAAAAAGATATAATACACCCCAAGAACTTCCCGGACAGCCTAAAATCTCAAATCTACATTATTGTTGGTTTTCGACTAATCAATATTTCTATTCACTGAGAATTATAAATAAAAAAAAATATATTATGGTTAGTCTACAGTCTCATAAATTAAACAGTGAACACTGTATTTTAAGTTTCTCAATTGCCCTAGAAGATACTAAAAAAAACTGTGAAAACTCACTAAGATATAAAATATAATACTTTCTATAAGGTTAAAACTTCAACGTATTACGCTTTTTCAAGTTGGGTAAGTTTGCTACATACATTATATAAAAACAATTGACCCGACGCTACCTCTATTCTAATCATATCCCTGATAATCCACCAAGAAGATTAAAAAGGAAATGGTGTAGAGACCTCCTATAAATTATAAAAAAAAAATTTAAAAGCAATAAGTATTAGATAAACTAACTCAAAATTCAAAGTAGGTAGCTCCATTGGGTGCCCCCCTACTGCATGTTATTCAAGCTATATTATTAAATTTCTTTTTTTACTGTTTACCCATTTACTGTTGTGCATATATTTTGTATAGATCTAAATATAATATAATAAAGACATTTTCTAAAAAAAAAAAAAATTGACCTTGATTATTTTTTATTTTTTGACAATCTTTTTAGCTTTGATGCAAAGCGAGAAGGTATTGGTTTTACTCCGATGTGTGTTTTTTTTTTATCTGTATACACTGTAACTTTTTTAATACTGGACCGATTCCTTCGAATAGCAACTCTATAAATCGCAAATTTCATCTAGTTAATACATTGGGGGGGGGGGGGTAAAAGTTAAAAAAGTTTACTTTTTAACAGACGAAATTTGAAAACACAAAAAAAAAACCGTACGAGTTTTTAAGTTAGAACTTTTACTGGCTATAGTTTCGAGAAAAAGAGTCGGATCGAGTTGGAATTTATAAGAAATATTTATTTGGTATGCCCGCCCACGTCAGTTGTATCAAATTTAAATTAAACCCATTTCCCACCCCCCTAGAGGGGGTTAAAGTTTTTTGTTTTTTTAGTTTTTTAGCCGTAATTTTAAGACCCTTAAGTTGAAAATTTGTCAGTAGTCAGAACTCATATGTATTCATAACATATAAACGGA